CCCCAAAACCCCAAAACCCCAAAACCCCAAAACCCCTAAGGGAAAAAACCAAGCTGAAATTATTAGTTCAAATAACTTAATTCCCGTTTGGTGCAACACGGCTGTTAAACATACTTTCTGGATCAATCGAGTAGGTGAATGTATCATCTACCTTACTGTTCTCCATCTCATTGCTTCTCCCAATCTGGTCTTTTAGTACTCTTTTGAACTCATTGTACTTTTTATTGTCAAAAATCACCCTAAAATTTTAAAGCTAAACAATACTCATTTTTAAAAACCTGCATTACTCCTGGAAGTAGAGTTATTGGCAGTATTCCTGTTTTTGCTTATATTCTCAGGGACATTCTCTTGGAAGGACTCGTGTTGTTGTCTGTGAGGTTTCCTCCGAATGTTGTTCCTTGAAGAAGACTTTTGCAATCTCTTCTTCCCCTCCTTTGGAACTTGTGGGATGTGAGGAGAAGTTGTGTATCTTTCTAAGCTTTTATCCCCATATTCCTTCCTAACTCTCTGATGATTATCAGCTCTGTGATAGCTAGGGTACTCCTGGTCCATGTGATCGTCAATATTGATCACATGATGTGTCCTATACTGATCCTTCTTAGACTCCTTAGGGCTTATATCATATGTGTTTCTGTTCTGAGGAATATTCTGCAAGTAGTTATTCATCCTACTTCTCTTGGATTTACGATTGTTCTCAAGACTCTTATATCTCAACTTCTTCTCGATACTTTTTGAAGGAAGCTCTTCATCATTAAGGAACAAGTTATCTTCTTGTTCAGCAGGATAATAGTTGTCCCTTTTGGAAATAGAGGATTGATTCACTTTATGCTCATTCATATCTGGCCTTCTGAGTCGAGATTCACGTTTTGGATTTTTCTCTTGACGATATTCTCTATAACTTTTCTGTTCAGTATACATGTTCTGTGTGGAATAATCAGAAGTCTTCAGCTTTTGTCATTTCTCAAAATTTGCTTTCTGAGGGTTTCGAGACTTTCCATATGCTTGACCATAATTTTCATAATTATTAGGGGAATATGATCTTTCATTATCTTCTTCATAAGGGTCATAATCCTGATTTCTCTCTTTAGACCTATTATGACTTCTTCTAATCATTTCTTTTGAATATTTTTCATTGCTTTGTCTCTTGTACTTGTTTTCAGCTTCATAAGGATCTCCAAGGGTATTGTTAAAGTCTGAAAAGCCTCCATCTTTCCTTTGGTCGAGGTTATATCCATTTTCTCTATCATCTTCTATTTCTCTGGTATCGAAAGTGTTATGGCAGCGTGAGTCGATGGTATTCATCACATCATCTCTGTTTAATTTAGAGTATTTGGGGTATTTAGACTTTTTATTTCTGTTGAAGTCATGATCATAGCTGAGATCTTTGATCTTCTCTGCAGTCGCATCAAGAGTATCATATTCATATTCATCTGCCTTGGCAAACCTCATGTCAGCTGTATACTCACTTGCATAGTTGTATTGGTAATTTCCGGTATTTTGAGGTGAGAAATCATCAATTACTCTCTCAGATTTATGTGCACCAAGCTTCTTAATACTTTTAGACTTGACGGCACTCCCAGCAGCTGTAGGGCAGCAATCATCATAGATCTGTCCTGATTTTAAATTCTTAGTGCTCGAAGTATTCTTAACCATTGGGCTTATTTTATAGCATGTGTTCTCTTTCTGGTGAGTTTTCTTTACCTATACATATCAGATGAGAATACTTTCAAACTAAAAAAAGCTTACAGAGTTAAAATCTTCTCTTTGCTGAGGTCTTGATGTGTTTCTCTCATCTCTGTGAGTTTTGGGAACTGAGTTGTCATAATCATCCTCTAAGTAGCTCATTGATAACTGTCTTGCTTCATTCTCTTCATTATAATCAAATCCATCTTTATCATTGTTTTTATCATCATAAACAATGTCAGGGCTTGTGTTCATATAGTTCTGAGAACCATAAGACTCTTCTAAATTATTCTGATAATCATATTTCTTGTTATAATCATTATTTTTGGTTCTAACAACTCTTTCAGCACTAGATAGAGAGCTAGGTCTTCTCTTATGTTTCTTATTCAAAGTTTCAATAATACTGTTGTCTGTGGTATCATCATATTGCCCATATAGAACAGTTTCTGATGTCTTATCATTCAAATCAAGCTGAGACTTAGTAGTTCTGAGATGGATACTAGCATTGATTCCATATCCAGATTTTTGAATATCATTGATAGTCCTTTCTTGTTTGATAGACTCTTCAACTCTTCTCTGCTGTTGCAACTCCTTAAGCTCTCTTTCTTTCTTACTCAGCTTTGTTTGATAGTTGTACTGAAGAGCAGTCATTTTGGCTTTATTCTTCTCCATTTCTACCTTCTGCTTCTCAAGAGTCTCTTTCATCGAAGAGTTCTTCCTAATCTCTTCTTTCCACTTGCTCCTCAAAGAGTGATTTTCCTTGTCTAAATTTATGATAGTTTCTTTCTTTTCCTGGTGAAGGATCTTGATGTCTTCTTCAAGGCACTTATTATGCCTTCCGAGTGCATTATTTCTGATTTTAAGGCTTTCAATTTCGTTTAAAAGACTGTTGTAGTGATCTTTCTCCTCATCTTTTAATCCTTTGTTTTTAGTTACCTCATTCTGAGTATTTTTAAGCTTCATCTCTGTCTTTTCAAGCTTCATCTCTGTCTTTTTAAGCTTTGATTTCAGCTTAGCCGAATCTTGGGTGAGGCTAGCATTTTTATCCTTCGTAGCAGATTCTGAGCGCATGAGAGTTTCAATATCTTCTTTTGCTCTCCTCTTGACTTCTTTTAATTCATCTTCTTTGGCTTTAAGTCTCTCAGCAAGAGACCTAAGCTCTTCAGCGCTATCATTATCATTAGTTGAGCTCTCCAACTCCAATATCTTCATCTCAAGCTCTTCCTTAACATTCACTGCATTGTCAAGTTTCTCGCTTAGAAGTTTCTTCTCGCTCTCTGCAAGATTTTTGACTTCATCAAATTGGTGGGCATGAGTAGACTCTTTTTGTTTGAATTCTTCAGTTATTTTATTCTTCTCTTTCTCAATCATTTCAGCAAATTTGTCCCTATTATTCCTTAACTCCTCGTTAAATTCATCCTTGTTAGCCTGAATGGTGTTCTGAAGAGACTTAATCTCTTCCTGAGCCGTTTCTAGCTCAGATCTGAGGGAAGAAGTATCATTCTCGTAGTCAAATTTCATACTTGACAGAGAAGATTTCATTTCTTGAATTTTGTTCTCAAAATCTTTACTTTCCTTGATAGCTTCATCCTTCTCTTCTTTAAGTCTCTTGATTTCACGTTCATAGTTAGATTTTATGTTTTCAATCTCTACTTTTTGTATTTCCTAAAATTAAGATTGGCGGAAAATACCTCGAGCTTCTTAAAATCTTCTGAGTTATGTTCCTCTTCATGGTTTATTCATTGGCCAACCTATTAAAAATGATTCAGCTAGTTTACTTTTTCGAAGTTTTTGTACATATTCCTCAGGTCTTCTTTCTCCTTTTCAAGCTCATTGTTCACTCGTTCCAAATTGGTTCATCTTTGTTGTATCATCGCTATCTCTTTTTCATATTGAGATTTGGCATCTCTAAGTCTCTTCTTAAGCAAGTTGACTTCACTTTCATCAGAAGATGGCAATAATGGTCTCTTAAGTTTTGAATCGTTTGAAGTAGGACTTGGTGTTTTAGTTTCGGTACCCTCCATTTCTAAAATTCCGCGTTAATTTAAATCAATTGTAAATAAAAAAATAGGGGTTTTGGGGTTTTGGGGTTTTGGGG